TATGAAGTGAGACGCGAAAGGAGTAATTGCGAGTTCGCAACCACATCAGGCTCCACGTTGGCAGGTATCGCAACATTTCTGCTCTGTCGACATACTTACTTGTTTTTGTACTGCATTAAACCACTGAGTCACTCAAATAAGATGAAATGAACAACGATTTTAATTTACTTATAAACTGCTAGTTTGAGCGAGCAGATAGCTTGTCCGCCAAAGTTCAACTGGATCAGAGTCGATCTTGGAAAGAAATTGTAGGCTTAAGATGTATTTATGATGAGACGTTGCAAAAAATTGAATGAGAAGCCAGCTGATGGAAGATCAGTGGAAGCGCAATAGCAAACAATTCGAAATAGACGATTTTTTGAAGAGACCGCAGCTTACACAGCTTATGTGTCTTTAAGGCGCTTGAATCTGAAAGATGACAAAAGACGAGTTAAGCAGAGAGAAAAACCTCTGTGGGCCCCATTCCAGTCTCTCACAAAATCCTGTGCTCAACTAATAAGCCCAAAATTCATCTTTGATTTGTGGACAGTTAAATAATGTTGAAGATTTCACACACTACTCATATAGCGTTCGAACGGCGAAACAAAAACGTTTTTGGCGTTGGTTAAATATCAAGCTTTATCTTACATTCTCCTCTGTCAAACTTGATAGATGTGACTAAATGTATATTGCTCTGGGCAATGACCTATGCTGCATTAGAATTATTGTCACACAGGCAAGTTTGGTGCAATTTCACTTCTTCGGTGCGATAAGACTGAACAACAGATAAACGAGAAAAGCGTCGTAGTGGGCAGCAAAGCCAGGTTTAGAAAGGCTATATCATGGCCAACGACAAGCAATCGCTCCGTGTAATGCTGCTGGCGATCGTCATCATAAAATAAGAACACAAATCAGGTGTTCAAGAAAGGTTGAAACAACGAAACGAACGGGAAATAAGCTTGAGTTTGCAAGAAACTTGAAGTTATCTACACATTTTGGTGATTTGCTCTCTTCCAACAAACATTTAGACAAAGATTTTTCTCTTTTCTCTGCCCTCCAGTTGTCTTTCTTTCAAAATGTTTTGTTTCCAGAGTAGTTATATACGGCTCTCCAATGTACATTAAATTCACACGATTTCAGGAAGGAATAAACATTAGTGTTCTGAAATGGAGGACGAAAAGTTATACTCAATAACGCTTTACTTTTTTCAAGACTCAGACAATTATACATAATGAGGAGTTTGAAGCACCGTGTAGGTTTGGAAATCGTTCTGCTTCAATTCAATCATTTTGAAACGCCTTCAACTCAATATAGGCAGAGGTGATCACGGGGTATGGACTACATTTTACTCAGCACACAAAGATTAAAGAGATTGAAGATAAAGACAAAAAGAATTCTATCTGGTCATCCAATACCCATTATCTGTCAGGGTCACTGAGTTCATTGTCGATGCCGACTACCTAGGATAAACCGTCAACAGTTGGTTGCTGGCAGATAGATGCGTAGTGGCGTAGAAAGAGTGGTGGGCGTCATCAGTGTAACGCTTCACAGCAACGCGCTCCCGGTTACAGTGAGATGTGCGTTCAAGTCGCGGCTGACGCAAAAAACTTTGCACATCACCCTCCAACACTGGGTATACATGAAAATGCTTTATAAGTTATATGAACTCTTACAAGCAGAATATCATCATTCTGCAAGAATATCAAAATAAAAAAAGTGGGTGGACAAGACTGTACCATATTGTTGAAAAATTTAGAGGTTGTCCCGAAAAGTAGCACGACATGACCAAAAAATAAGGGTCATTCGACAACTACATTGTCTTCGATTCATAGTAGCATTGTTCTCTACATTCAAGTGTTAGAAAGGCAGAACGAATAGCTGTTTCCCTCTAAGACTTATGGATGAAGTGTTAGCCAAATGTAACGGATATCAGTTGATTTTAGTAAAGCCTCTGAAAAGTTGATGCCTGATTAGATCTTAGGAGTATAGATTTTCAAACAGAGAAAATGTCTTCTGTCAATTCGTTCGCCTCCAACATCGAGGGTATTTTCGTATACCAGATCGAAGTGTTTCTGGGTAGGGAGGCCAACAACATGAACGAAGTCGAAAATGATGAATATGAGTTCAAAGCTGGGTAATAGGAAGCGAGCTGCCCGGGAATTCTTGAAGATAAACGAGAATATAATGAAAAGGGCAAAAACACTAACCCATACCCACCTTCTAGAACCTACGATTCCTCCTGTCTTAATGCACACGAGAGTCGCCTAATTGCTACAATAGTGAACGAAATATTATTAGGCGCTTCAGCAATTTTGATGCCAGGAGTAAAAAGACAAAGGATAAAGCTCTTGGCGTTGATCAGTTTTTGATGGATGCGCCATACATTCGCCTCCATCTAGACTTGTTCGAAGCGATTAAATGCATGTTCAACCATTACAATAATCGCCGTGGCCTACCGATGTTCCAGGTCATTGTTGCTATTCTTCCAGACAAGTTTGGTACAGTTCAGCGACTACGATGCTATGGAAGACTTGGCGAGCTTTGAGCAGCAATTTTAAACCAGTGAGTTGATTGATCGACCAATGTGTTTCACATAGCACCTCTGGTCACTGCGCCACACGCGCTACATGCTGGGAGTACCCCGTATCAATTACAAGATATCTTTCATTTCGAGTGTTATCTTAAGACCACAGCTCAAATTTCAATATGCCTGATAATCATTATTTGAGCCACGCATGTCTGTGGTCTGTCAATGAGGGCTGACTTATAGAGCCCGATACACGTGTTTCGATCTTGCGATCTCGTCAGTCGGGCAGTTACCCTTTCTCGTCTTTTGCTAATCTCTGTGGGTGCTCCAGTCCCCACATTAAGAGTTAGCGACGACGTACGTTTTACACTCTATGTTCAGTGAAGAACTCACCAAACACAGAGTTTTTGTACACTCGAATGCTCGTGGCTAGTAACGTACGTCGTCGCTAACTCTTATTGTGGGGACTGGAGCACCCACAGAGATTAGCAAAAGACGAGAAAGGGTAACTGCACGACTGACGAGATCGTAAGATCGAAACACGTGTACCGGGCTCTATAAGTCAGCCCTCATTGACAGACCACTGACATGCGTGGCTCAAATAATGATTATCAGGCATATTGAATTACAAGATAGACGAATCCCTGGGTTCATAAACATGCCAAGATGTCGAAATCAGGTAAACCTTCCAGATAAGCTCTTGGCTGTAACCGGTGGACAGAAGTTGTCAACGATTGAATTGTACAGGATGCCAGCCGCACAGAGGAGACGTCCCCGATCCGATGGTCAGAATACTTCGCAAAGAGTATAGAAGAAAAATCTTTTATTGCAAAAGCGGTACATTCAGGCTTAGACTGTGTGTATACCGGTCATTCCACAATCAGCGAGTGTACAGGTAACAGATGAACTCACGAATACATTTGATAGTGGAGAAAAATATTCAAAAAATATACATATAACGCCAACGCAAGATGGATTACCTGACTGCAGTACAGCAAAAGTTACACTTGGGACGAAGAAGGCAGTAATGAAAAATTTGGAGAGCATAGTTCCGTTAAAAGTGCTTTGACAGGTTCGGAATGCAAATGTTGATAGGGCGTGGCGTACCGGAATGAAACTTATTGCTCGACAAGAAAAGAGCTCCTTTAGAAGGCGGTGCAATGGAAGAAACCGGGCGAGGGTTAGACTCAGTGTTTGAGGCATCTTCGCATATAGTCTCAATTTCTGGAGGAAATGAATGGAAGAGTTTGTATACAAAAATAATGCCGCAAGTCTCCAAATCAAGGCTATTTCGTCAGATTCTCATGACTCAAAAAGCAAGCTTGACGTTTATGGTCGACTTTCTATCAAAGGATTGCGTGCTCTTATAATGGAAGAGAAACTCAGCAGAGTTACACGAAGAGCTTCCGGAATTAGCTAAATTTTACTTGTGGAACTGAGGAACTGATGATTTGTAGCTTTGGAATGTTTGCAAAGTTTTTATTGCTGTCCCTACGACCGGCGTTAATTTCTTTTTCCTACTCCGTCGAATCGAACTGGCTATAATGCAAATATAGTCGTCAAGATGCTCGTCTTGGAACAAAAACAATCACTGCTTAAAATCTTTTGTCTGTTGTTTTATGAAATCATCAACTCCTGTAGGCGAACACCAACCAGAACTTGCTAAGAAAAAGACTTCTCTTGAATTCTCCTTTGTTTTCTTTCAAATTATCAGCTTAATCATTCTATTTCAAATCTCAGCTTCTTCAGAACAGTACTTCCGACATTGTGCTTTCACATAGGTCTTCGCACCTTAAAAATGATCAGAGAATTTCTAAGCAAGTTTCGTGAAAATCATATTTCTCTCTAAAGATTTTGGCATAATGTTAAAACACAGTAAGAAGTAGTGAGCTTCGACTTAAGCTTTGGTGTCAAATCTACTCGTTTAGTCCTAAATTACTGAGATCGTCTACTGTTGTAATGATGGGCAGCTAGGATATCGAGGAAGTTTGAAGCGGTGTCCGAACACAAATTTCCTTTTAAACTGGTTCTGTGGAAGGTTCAATGGCAGAAAGTGTCCGAAAAATAGGGCGAGTCAATAATGAGCAAACGTTTGCTCGTTGGCGCGTTTCGTCCAGCTTCTAGCCATTGAAACATTCAAATCTTTCTCTTCCATTCCCGAATTTCTGCTTGTCTCCCCACTCATGACTATCTGGTCTACTACGATAATCTCAACCTAGTGATTTAATTTCTATTCATCTGTTCGGGCTAAAAAGTAATCGTTATAATAGACTAATCTGAAAATACAAAGGGCCAAAGTTTTCATAATTAAACCCACGACAAGAAATTGATTCTTGCGTCATTTTTCGGGTGAAACTATTAGAGCGTTCGAAAAATGCTTTATTTTTACTAGTCCACGCGTAGTTTCATAAAGTAGAAAAAGGAGGAATAGAAAAGAGTGATGTGCAAAACTCAAAGAAATAGAAAAGAGTAATGTGCAAAAAAGGCAAAACGGGCTTCAGTAGTGCAGCGGTAATAGCACGGGCTCTCGGATAGAGTGAGATGCTGGTTCAAGTCCTGCCTGACGCAAAAGTTTCGCGCATCACACTACAGTAGTGGGTATATCTATAACATCATATCAATGCTTAGAGCAACCAAATAAAAAATTTTAGGAAAAATTAACTAAAGAACTGGACAACTACGTGGTTGGACTACATTTCAAATCGTGTACTTTGCAGCACATCACGTACCGGATGTTTTATCCTTTATTTTGCTAAACAATTGAATTAGAGAACTCAAGCAGTGAATAGTCAATTACACTGTGTTTAGAAAAAGAGATTAACACACTGCAAGTTTGCTCCAACTACTAAGTGGTGAAAGTTTTTGGTATTTGTGACAACGTTTCTCGACGAAGTGACTTGTCATAGGAGGCGGACGATGTAGGGAAAAGTTGGACACACTGCGCTGTGAACTGCAATTGACATTGACATAATGAACTCAACCGTAGTTGTGTAGGTTTAAATCTACATCAGTTTCCAGAAAAATTATTTACACGGCCTACGTACCTATCAGATCAGTGTTTTGATCCTGTTAGAGAAATCCGACAGTAATATGAGCACTCTGAAGTGTCTACGAATTAAGTTTTTTCGTGGTGCAGGAACAAATAATCCATAGAGCGTTCAAAGTTTAGCATAGGTAATCACTGCGCTACCCTCTAGTAAATTCTCTAGAGCCAATAAAAAGTTAAAAGTGAGTGACAGTGCCTCACCCTTTTTTCTGAAAACTGCTCAAAGCTAAAAGGAACATCATATTACTAATTTGCCAAACTAATTTGGACATAAACCTGAGTTATAATCTCATCTTCACTATTAATGAGCAATGCTGTTTTCCTAAGAATCACTGAAATCTCATGATAATTTCAGTGCTTGGTAACATTAACGAGACATCAATAGGAGATATTACAACTCTTCGAAGGCTGTATTTGGCTTATACCTTAATTTGGCTTCTCCACAATTTTTGATAGGGAAAAAATAGAAAAGCGAAAAATCCCCTGAAGTTCAGAAAATTATAATTTCACTAGGTTATAGTAGAAGCATATTTTGCAGACGAAGATTTGAGGATTGTAAGAGGCATTAAGTCAATAACTATTATGCCCTGAAATACTCAATATGTCTCAGTTAAGTCATATAACTCATTTCGAGCACTATCTTCTATGGTGTTGCCATTCCCTCTCCTCTTTTCTTGATTCTAATGGCACAAGTCCATGCAATATTGTAAAACTCTGGTTTCTAAGTACATTTATTTTCATTGATAGAAACAAATACTCGTTTATTTTTCCACCGTTCACAGCACAGTGCGTGACTTTTACTGTATTAAAACCACCAGTGCAGTTAACTGTGGAATTTGAAAACCGTTTCCTGTATCCGATTGCTGAGAAAAGATCAACGGAAAAAGAATCAAGGTGAAATAATTAATTGTTTTATCTGCCTATCACCAACGAGTATCGAGTTGTGTTGCAACTCAGTGACTTAAGTACTTTGTTCCTATATGAGAAAGTGGAAAGCGATGACTGAGTTTGCAGTTTTGCGATGCCACGTGCTGAGCTGCATTATCTTACTTCTCTCCCAGAACCGGTTTCTTATGTTTGTCCATTGACACAGCATCACCTCTAAGTCCGGTCAGATATTCGACCTTTCTCGTGACACTATGTCAATGCCAGTTGTTTCTGGCCTTCGCCATGATGGGTCGCACCATGTATATTCAACCCACACATACTGAAAAGGCTGAAAATAACGTTCAAATCGCTGCTTTTCTAAGCGCAAGCATGCGAGGTTGTTATATTCATAGTAGCCGACTTCGCATCCGGTTCGGTGCTGGTTCATATGTCTCCCGTAGCACTCTTTTGCAGTCACCTATTTTGGTGACCCATCAGCTGTCTTTATATACTTTCCTATCGATTAACTGCAAATTTTTGGCAGAGCAATCCGTTGACACAAAATTGTTTCTATGCACATACGCTTGAAATGTTTACAAACACTTCATGAAGGGAAGGAGAAAGAGGCGGAGTGGGTGCTGTGCTTGAGTGGTTAATGACTCAGGTTATCAGAAACAACACGAAGCTAGATGCTGCTTCGACCTTTCCCCAATACTCTTCAACAATCACCTTGATACGACTTGACCCGAGTATTCTTAAGATCAAAGAATGCTAGAAATATTTGACTTGACAAGTATTTTGCGACAATCAGCGAAATCGTCAAACAGTTATTGAAAGATCACGCGAGATATTCGAAGACCTCTATGGGGAATGAATGCAAGGAAACGAATTAAATGCTAGAATTACTGTTCGAGCAGTAAATTGTGCTAACGTACCGTGTAAATCGAGAATTAAATAAAAATAGTAAGCGGTTGTTTTTGAGCACACAATGTTTTGCTCCATTTCGGTCACACAACTATTCATTGGGTTTCACACCGCGCAGTCTTGCATGGAATGGGAATGTGCCTCGCTCAGGTCAGAAAAGCTTCGCCTAAGGTATTGCGCGAAGCCAGGAGTGACCACGTGACACTCCCTCCGCAGTTCAGTTTTGGATTTGTAGTTTATTCAAAATGTTTCAAAGTTTTCAAGCAGATGTCTCTGATTCTTATGAGAAGATATGATTTCTACAGCAAGATCTTCTCCGCCACGATATTGTACCTTATGCATGCCTAGTGGAGCGTTCTGTTTGTCTTCAACCTTTTCAGTTAGGTGATCCTTCATACGGACAGAGTGGTATGCCTGTTCCGCCAGTGTATTTATACTCAAATGTCTTACAAATGGTTTGTATATCATACTCGAACTCATGCAATCGCTGTCTTTACCATTAGGGTGAGCTATAAAACCTGTGTTTCATGCAGATGATTAAACAAACGATTGAGACTAACTGGAGTTTTCGAATGTCCTGTGGTATTTCAATAGTGATACCGTCCTGCCTAACCGACTCTTTCTGAGTTAACGTTATACAATTGGGGTATTTGATATATGAAAAGCAGAACGAACGAAACTATACATCATTTGGAAGCGCCGTTTTATCAGAAATGACTGCATTTTATGAAAAGTCTTTCTACTTATGCTTTCTTCGTCGACGATTTCAGGCTGTTAAAAAAACTCATTTTTCACAAGTGGGCATGTTTTATGTGGGATGTGCGAAAAGAGGTAAAGAATCTGCGTATTTCAATATTTGGCTTTCTATACCACTCAATGTCGTGGGCGCTTTCCAGAAACCAATTTGCTTTCTGGTTTTTTAGGGTGAATTTCATGTACTTTAACTGCTCAGTTAAAAGCTCAGAACATTTCTCCATCTCTTCTAGTGTTGAATGGACGACAAAACAATCATTGATATACCTACAGCAAAGTAGTGGTTTCCAAAGAACAACAGTGTTTTTTATAAGATGAAACAGAATGGTAAGACTTGGTTGAGTTCAGCCACTGTCCCATTCCAACCTCATTTGTGTTAAAGGCTACTCGAAACACACGACGTTTGACCAGTTTAGGGATTCCTTGCAATGAATATGATTTGGCGCATCGAAAGATCATTCATGTTCCAGTTCTTTCGTCATCCCTGAGCTGTTCGCTGTTAATAGCATAGTAGTCTTTCGACGCTATAAAAGAGCTATTACGTCGAAGGACTCCATGGTGCACGAGCTGTTAAGAGATATGCTACGTAGCCGGTCCAGAAGCTTTGGGTGTTTGTGAACGAAAATGTCTTTTGTCAAGTGGATTAGTATTAAGTAACTGAACTTCGTTGTTATATCAGTCTGCCTATCTACACACCTGGTAACGAGTCTTATTTTGAATTTTGTGAAAGCAATAGACACATGGCAATCAGCGAATAAAAACTTGAGTGTTCTAATAGGTATGTGTATTACTGGGTATGTTGGTAATTCAATTCCAAGTTGAGGATCAAGCAATAGTCTGAACTACCGCGTTTGCCACTTCGACTCATTCCCTGTTCAGTTGTCGGTTTTGAGTTCTAAATTCACTTTCAGATGATGGGCGATGAAAACAGACACCTCCGATGTGTATTTACGTCTTCTCAACATCTAGTTAAGGTATTATTCGACACCTCACATTCTTCTCACTACATAATTGCCTAGTAGTTTTGGTTTTTTCAAAATTTAAACTTGCCGCTCTCATGTTGCTTTTCTTGAAGAGGGCAAAATTTGCGAAATTTAGCCGTTTTGGTGCTACTTTGTATTCGTAAATCTTCTGACAATCTCGTGTCTGTTCGTCAATGTGACCCGAAATTGTAAGATCAGCGCCACGGTTAATATAGGGTCTCATAACCTTTCGCATTTCGATACATCTATTAATTCAATTGCTATTCAGCTAAAAAATCAATTGACAGTAATGTAATCGCCATCGTGATCAATGATATGAAGAGTGGCAGTGAAAGAAGTTGGTGAGGCAGCAATTGAGCTGGTTGCAGTCTTTGAATTTTTCTCCTACAGATGCTGCTTTAGAGTGGGGAAAAATGGTGATCCGTTGGAGCAATATCAGGGCTATAAATTTTGTATTGGTACTGTAGTTCAACCCAGTTTGTCTAAAATGTGGCGGGTCGACCTCTCAGAGGTCGAGCGCTATCTCAGAGAGCGCAATCCTGAGTCGTTTCGGACGTTTCTCTCTTACTACTGCGCTCAACATTCGGAGTCCCCCTTTGTGGACGTCGGCATTGATTGCCTGCTTGTTGTCGATTAGTTTAAACAGTATTCCTTGCCAATTCCACATAATCGAGAGTATAATCTATAGATCATGCAACTTAGGTTTTGGTCAAGTTGATGAATTTGGCTGTTAGTAACCTGGAGTATCCTAGAGTCTTACCTCATGCCTAAAAAAGCTTTCTACATTCTTCAACATTCAAACAACATTCTTCAACAGTTTTTTCTCAACAATCAAATTTTAAATGTGGAAAAAATTGAATCAAACAATAGGGCAAAAATTATGAAGAATTCAGTAGATTGTCAGTCATGGGAATGATTTTTAGCACATACAGCCAAACAGATTGCACTAACCACTGCATGGTCTTCCTAACATATTATCCACAAGTTCTCGCTTA